ATCCCTTCCGCTCTCCCGCTAGTAATGTCGTGCGCCCTTGGACCCGGTCGCGGCGCAGATGCCCGGCGCGGCGTCGACGTCGCCGGACCGCGCGAGGGCCGGGATGCAGGACGCCGGGTCGGCGAGCGCGGCGCGCCACTCGTCGCAGAAGATGCCGCGCGCGGCTCCGTAGAGCGCGCGGTCGAGGCCGTTGTGGCGCTCGAAGGCCCGCCGCAGCGTCGCGTTCGAGGCGACGGCCGCGGCGCGCCGCAGCGACGCCGCGTCCGAGCGGCGCGCGCCGACGTCCGCGAGCGTCCGGAAGTCGTCGCGGAGCTTGTGGCACGTGCTCGCGTTCACGGAGAACGCGCGCGCGAGCAGCGCGTAGGACTCGCGGGGCGCCTCGAGCAGCCCGAAGGGGACGCGTCGGAGGACGCCGACGCCGCGGGCCAGCGCCGCGTCGTCGGGCGTCGCCGCGCCCGCGTACGCGTGCTCGTTCATGCCGAGCATGCGCGTGGCGACGTTCGCGTAGGCCGACGCGCGCGCGTAGTCCAGGAACGTCGCCGACGCGTAGTCCGGGGACGTCGCCGACGCGTTCCGCCGGACGCGGGCCTCCCCGCGGAGACGCCGCCGCGCGAGGAAGCCGCCGACGGGCGGCCAGCCGACGCCGAACTCGTCGCTGCCGGGGTGGTGGCCGCGGTAGAACCACCCGCTGACCGCGCGGCGCCAGGGATCGCGCAGGAACGTGAAGCAGAGCGCGCAGCCGAACCAGGGCCGGTCGCGGCGCCGCGGGTAGCGCGCGAGGAAGTCGCGCCCGAGCGCGTCGGGCCAGCGCCGCGGCGGCGCGCGCACCTCGCAGGGGTGGTTGCGCGCGTGCGACTCGAGCGGCGCGCCGTAGGCCTGGTCGAGGCCGTGCGCCGCGTGGCAGAGCTCGAGGGCCGCGTCGTGCGACGGCATGGGGTTGCACGCGCGGCGCAGCTCGCGGTCGCCGACGCCGGGCACCTCGTCCTTCGACGGGATCGCGCCGGTCCGGCGAAACGCGTCGCAGATGGCGACGCACTCGGGCGACGCGTACGGCTTCGCGTACGCCATCGCCTCGCAGCGTATCATATTCGCCGCCGCGTCGGCCGTCGTGCCGCCGGCCTTGGGAATGTGGATCGCGTGCACGTTCAATTGGCTCAGCTCCGTCGCGCGGAAGCGCGGCCAGGAGGCACCGGTGCGCGCAGCGACGACGAGGACGACGAGGCCTCTGGTTGCCATCGCCGCCTGCATGCCGTGTTTTAGGTCGCAGGCTGCGGCAGCCCGGCTTTGCACACCATCGCTTCACAGACGGCATCGTTAGTTCATCGTTGCCGTGAACCGGAGAGCGTCGACGCACCGCGTTGCCAAGTTGACCTCGATCGAGAAGAGCTCGGCCGCGGCGCACGCGCTGTCGCACGCAAGCACGATGATGCGCGCCGTGCTCCTTGTGGCTTCCGTTACGAACGCTCTAAAACTCACGCGCCGCGGCTTCGCGCCGGCGACGAGCGCCGCGGTTCTCGCTATCGCGCCCAACCTCGCTCTGGCCAAGGAGAACACGAACGTCAAGGACGGCGTCACCTACAAGAAGATCAACCCGATCCAGTTCGTCGCCGCGCTCGGCGATCCGACCGCGAAAGCGGGCACCGGCGCGCAGGACTGGGGCATCTGGCGCGCGGACCCGGGCCCGCGAGGCGTGCGACTCCAGGGCTTCGAGCAGCTCTCGAAGAAGGGCAAGGCCACGGCGGGCTGGGCCTTCGACGGCGACGACTGGTGGCTCGAGGAGCACGGCCTGATCATGGAGCAGCCGGACCCGCTGCCCGCGGGGAAGTACGTCGTGACGGGCGCGCGCGAGGTCACGACGGTGTTGGACGTCGCCAAAGACGGCGGCTGGACGCTGCGGGACGGGTCGCTCTACGACGTGACGCACCTGCCCTGCCGCTCGGCGCGCTACACGCCGCCGCCGGGCGGCGCCTGCTCGCCCGCGAGCGCCGCGCCGAAGGACTTCCCGGTCACGCCGGGCGCGGCGATGCCCGGCGTCGCGGGCTGCGCGAAGCAGGACTACGCCGTCCTCTTCATCGTCGGCGTCGAGGACAAGGCGGCGACCGCCGCCGCGACCGCCGCCGCGCGCTTGTAGTAAGGGTGGCATGCATATGACGTCGCCTGCTGTGATTGACGTCGATGTTGACGAGGCCGTGCATCACTCACTGAGCTGGCGATGATGCGCCGCCTGGCGCTAACGAGTGCGCGCACGATCTTCAGGGTGGAGGAGGGGGCCGGTGTGGTTCGCCAGATCCCCGGCTAGGCCTCCGCCCGCGCCTTCCCCGGCGGGATCTTCGGGTGTGCTCCCCCTTCAATAACTTGGTCAACGTGGCATGGCGTCGACTGCTCAGCGATCTTGAAGTCGACATTGAGTAAGTGGTGAGGCTCGAGACGCTGACGATGGCCGGTCGCGCTTGCGTGCAGCGCTTCGCGCTGCTGGCATCGCTGCTCTCAGCGTGTTCGCATGCTCACACGATGCATCATGTGATGGCCGCGTCGCTCGCGACGGCGCGCGCCATGCACATGCGCAACCTCGGCCAGTCGTCGCTGCGCGTCAGCGAGGCCTGCCTCGGCACGATGACCTGGGGTGTCCAGAACGACCAGCGCGACGCCGACGCGCAGATCGACCTCGCGCGCGAGCACGGCGTCAACTTCATCGACACGGCGGAGATGTACCCCGTGCCGACGTTCGCGGACGAGTGGCGCGCCGGCGCGACGGAGGAGATTCTAGGCGACTACCTCGACCGGCACAAGGCGGCGCGGGACGAGCTCGTGATTGCGACGAAGGTCACGGGCTACATGCCGCGGAGCGCCGTCGCCGCCGCGCGGACGACGCCGCCGACGTCGCCGGCGCCCGACTGCCGCCTCGACGCCGCGTCGGTCAAAGCCGCGTGCGACGCGTCGCTGCGGCGGCTCAAGACGGACCGCGTCGACCTGCTCCAGCTCCACTGGCCGGACCGCTACGTGCCGCTCTTCGGCGACACGGTCTACCAGCACAAGAAACGCGACGACGAGGTGCCCATCGAGGAGACCGCCGAAGCGCTGCGCGATTTGGTGGACGCGGGCAAGATCCGAGCGTTCGGGCTCAGCAACGAGACGCCCTTCGGGGTCGCGCGCTGGCACCAGGCCTGCGAGGCGCTGGGCACGTCGGACGGGCTCGCGAGCATCCAGAACTCCTACTCGCTCGTCGACCGTCGCTTCGACGCGGACCTCGCGGAGGCCTGCGACCGCTGCGGCGGCATCGGGTTGCTGCCCTGGAGCGTGCTCGGCGGCGGCCTGCTCAGCGGCAAGTACCGCGACGGCGGCGGCGCGTCGGCGACTTCGCGCTTCATCAAATACCCAAAGTACATGGCGCGCTGGTGCCCGGACACGGCGAGCGCGGAGACGCTCGCCGCGTCCGAGGACTACTGCAGGCTCGCCGAGGAGGTCGGGACGACGCCGGCGGACCTGGCGATCGCCTTCGTCCGCACGCGCCGCTTCCTCGACGCGGGCTCCGTCATCGTCGGCGCCACGGACCTGGACCAGCTCGAGGCGAACCTCGCGCCCTTCGGCGAACCGGCGCGCCTCAACGACGAGGTCCTCGCCGCCATCGACGCCATCCACATGCGGTCGAGGGACCCGAGCTGTCGCCTTTAAAAACCTAGGCGCGGGCCTTGAGGAGGGCCGTGGCGAGGAGGGCCTCGACGCGCGACTCGAGGGGCGGCTCCTCCTTCGCCGGCGCCTTGAGGACGTCGCCCGTGTCGACGCCGGCCTTGTCCCTCAGGTCCGCGAGGAAGCGCACGGTCTCGTCGTGGGCCGCGGCGCCGCGCGTCGCCCGGCGCGCGTCGCCCGCGAGGTCCCTCTCGAGCTTCGCGGCGTCGAGGTCCGCGAGCTCGAGGTCCCGCGACGCCGCGGCGACGACGTCCGCGTGGCCGCGCTCCGCGGCCTCGCGCTTCAGGGCCGCGTCGAGCGCCTCGAGCTCCGCGGCGCGGCGGCGCGCCTCGACGGCGCGGCCGTGGTCCGCGGCCGCGCGGTCGCCCGCGGCCTGGGCCTCGACGCGCGCGAGCTCGCACTTTCGCGCCGCGGCGGCGACGAGCGCCGCGTGCTCGAGGTCGCCCGCGCGCGTCGCGCGCGCCTCGGCGGCGGCGACGTCCCTGTCCTTGGCCGCGGCCGCCGCGGCGTCGTCGGCGCGGCGCCAGCGCCGCTGCAACGCGTCGTGGGCTCGCAGCCGCGGATCTCGACGCCGCGGAGCCGCGCGCCGAGCTCGGCCGCGCGCCGCGCGACGTGGGGCAGCGCGCGCGCCGCGCTCGTCTCCTTGGTCTCGCCGTCGCGGGGGCGGAGCGCGTCCTGGAGCGCGCCGACGTTGCGCAGGTCGTCCGCGTCGACGTCGCGCCTACCGTGCGAGGGGGGTGCGCGACGTACGAAACGCGCGGACGCCGCGGTTCCACCCGAGCGCGATCAGATCCGAGCGGAGCGAGCTCGCGAGCTCCGCGGGCAGGTCGCCGCCGCCGTCGAGGAGCTTCTCGACGTCCTCGATCTCGTAGCCCGCGCGGAGGGCCACCGTCGCCGTCGCGCCGTCGCGCGTCGTCAGCGGCGCCGCGAGGGGCAGCGTCGACGGCGACAGCTGCAGCGTGCGGAAGGAGCCCGACGCCCAGCGGAACTCGTGGACGCGCTCCCCGAAGGCGGGGGCGAAGACCGTGGGGCCCGCGACGACGCGCCGGAGCCGCTCGACCGGTTCGCCCTTGGCGAGGCTCCGTCTCGAAGCCGCGGAGCTGCGGCGAGGCCTCGCCGTCGCGGGCGGCTTTGCCGTCGGCGGCGGCGGGCGCGGCGGCCTCGCCGATGGACGCGCGGTAGACGACGATGGCCTCGGCGGGCGACGTGAGGTGGAGCGCCTTCTCGACGGTCACGCGCTCGTGGAGCACGGGGTTCACCCACAAAGCGCGCGGCCCGCGGAGGTGCTCGACGTTGCCCGAGCGGTGCTCGACGCGGAGGTACTCAAAAGGCCCGGCCTTCGCGCGGTCCAAGAAGCGGATCGTCGCAAAGAAGGTGCGAATGCGGCAGGGGCCGACGATCTCGCGCGCTTTCCCGCCGAGGCTCCACTTGACGGCGGCCTCGCCGTCCTTGACCGTGCGCTTGCTCCACCAGGTGCGGCGGTAGTAGGACGAATCGCGAAAGTCGATGCCCATGACGATGGGTGCGTTGCTGTTGTTCTTCTGTGTGGCGCTGCGGGACTGTGGTTCGGAATGACCATACTCACCATTCGGGCAGCCCGAGGATCGATGCGAGAAGGTGCGGGCAGCGGCTCGATCGGCTCGCTGGACTAGGGGATCTTAGGCTAGCACCTTGCCGATCCTGTCACCTTGCCGTCGATCGTCGATCGTCGAGATGGCCGTCTGCAAGTTGTCGATCGTCGCGATGGCCGCCACGGCCGTGGCGCTCGCGCCGTCCTCGGCGCCGAGGCAAAGCCTGGACGCGTCCGCGAGCCGGCGGGGATTTATGACCGAGCTCGCGACGGGCGTCGGCGCCGTCTTCGGCGCGACGACCTTCATGGCGCAACCCGCCGAGGCCGACAGCTACGACGACTACCTCGCGGCGAAGGCGAAGAAGGACAAGAAGAAGGACAAGACGCGCCTCGAGTACGGCTCGAAGACCGTCGACGTCAACTCCATCGACCTCGACGCCGCGGAGAAGCTCGGCGCCAAGGCGGCCGACCAGGAGTTCGGCACGTCCGCCGCGCGCAAGAAGACGATCGTCGCCCAGGAGGTCAACGGCAAGCGCGCGCTCGCCGACGACACGAAGTCGCTCAAGGCGCTGACGAAGGACCCCCTCGTCGCGCCGAAAATCGCCGGCGCCGAGGTCGACGGCACCAAGGAGTACATCTCCGCGGAGGACCGCAAAAAAATGAACAAGAAGAAGGTCCTCTCCGGCGAGTACGCCGCCTCGCTCAAGCTGTAGGGTCGCCCGCCGAAAAATGTCGCCGACCGCGCGCTAAGCTCGCGGAAGGAACGCCGTTCGCGCCGCGTGCGGAAGACCGGCGGCGCCCGCGTCGGCGCATGGAGCGCTCCGCGGGCGAGGCGTGCGCACGGGTGGCGCCTGCCGAGTCCGAGCGGGTGAGCCCGGCCCGCTCCGCGGGCGAGGCGTGCGCACGGGTGGCGCCTGCCGAGTCCCAGCGCGGGCTCGAGCAGAAGGCCACCGCAGGGCCGCCGTCGTTACGTACGCGTCGGGGGCGGGGACGCGCGCGGCGGTCACTCGCCGCCGCCGGCGGGCTTCTCGGACGCGACGACGTCGAAGGCCGAGGGGTCGAAGGGGCGGGCCTTCTCGTCGAGGGCCGTCTGGCGGTCCATGGCGATGTCCATGAGGGACGCGTGGATGACGGGGTAGGGGAGGTGCTCCTCGAGGAAGGACCGCGGGAGGTTCGCGCCGAGGGCCACGGCCTCGAGGAAGGCGCACTGGGCGCGGAGCGGGAGCTCGCAGAAGTGGGGCTCCTTCTCGTGGAGGCGCATCCACGTCACGGCCGCCGCGCCCGCGGCGACGAAGTCGGCGACGCGCGTCGTCGCGAGCTTCGCGGCGCGCGCGTCGCCCGGCGGCCCGGAGGACACGTGGGCCAGGGCGCGGATCGCGAGGGACATCACGTGGTGGCCGTTGTCGAAGGCGTTGAGCGCCGGCACCCAGCGCGCGGGCTTCCACGCGTCCGCGGACAGGGCCACCGCGAACGCCGTCGGCAGGAGCGCCCACTCGTCGACGGAGTCGACGAGGCCCGCCGCCTCGGCGTGGAGGTTGCCGTCGCGCTCGAAGGGCGCCGCGCCGTAGGGCGAGTCGGCGACGAGCGCGCGGTAGAGCGGCGAGTCCTCGTCGCCGAGGTCCCGGTGGTACGTCGGGTCGTGGGCCTTCCGCGGCGGCGGCAGGAGCCAGGGCGGCGCGGCCTTGCAGGCCGTCGCCGCGTCGAGCGTGTCCAGCGCTAACAGCGCCGTCTTGAGCAGGTGCGGCGCCGCGACGTGCGACGTCCGCGCGAGCGCCTCGCGGCCCAAATTCCGGAGCGCGAGCAGATTTCCTAACTTGATGGCCGCGTCGACGAGCTGGTCCAGGTAGCCCGCCTCGCGGAGCGCCGCCGCGTGGGGCACCCAGTCGCCGCCGAGGGCGCCCCGGCGGCAGGCCTCGAGCGCCTTGAGCGCGTGCTTGCCGCAGACGCACTTCTTGCACCGCGCCATCTCGTCGACGGCCGCGCGCGCGAGCGCGCCGTCGAGGCACCGCGCGCCGTCGGCGCCGAGCACGCGGAAGAGCGCGTCGAGCTCCGGCGCGCTCAACAGCGTCTCCGCGTAGAGGGGCTCGCGCGTCCGCGACTCGACCGCGGACTGGAACCGGTGCCGCTCGGGGCAGTAGACGACCGTCCGCGGCAGGCCGCGGACGGCGGCCACGTAGGCGTCGGCGACGCGCCCGGCGAGGGGCGAGTGCTCCTTCGAGTCCGGCCCGCCGCGGGGGCCCAGGGTGCGGTAGACGTGGCCCGCGTAGTCGACGTCGACGTAGCCCGCCGCGCGCGCGGCCGCGGCGAGCGCGGACCCGACGACGCGCTCCGCCGTCGTCGGCCGGATGAGCCGGCCCTCGTCGTCGAAGAAGGCGCGGGGGATCTGCCTGTCGAGGAAGGCGAGCACGGCGTCGCGCGCGGCCTCGGCGGGCCGCAGCTTCGCGTCGCCGACGACGACGGCGGCCGCGTCGGGCGACGCGTCCGGGTCCTCGCGGTGGTCGCTTTTGGCCCAGGCCATGGTCGCCGCGAGGCGCGCGTCGGCGACGGCGAGGGGCTGCACGGACGCGGCGTTGGCGGGGAGCGACTCGTAGCCCGCGGGCGGCTCCTCCTTGGCGCGCTCGCCGCCGCCGCCCTTGCGGTCGAGCTCGCGCTGCGCGGCCTCGCGGCGCTCGAGGCGGTAGGCCGCCTCCACGGGCGCGATCTGGCACGCGAGCTGGTCCTCCTTGGCGGCGATGGTCCGCAGCGACGACGACACGCCCGCGCGGAGGAGCTCGAGCGTCCGCTCGCCGAACCTGCGTGGAATTCAAATCTTCAACCCGACTTCAATGTGCGCGTATGCGACGGTTTCGACGCAAGCTCTTCGGCTGTGCTTCGAGAACTCGACGAGAGCCATCGGTTCATCCAAAAATCAGCCGAATCGACGTCGATTTGATCGAGCTCGAGAATTCTCAAGTTTGGTCGGGACCACCCAAACCGGCGGTCGAATTCCACACAGCGCCGAACGCGCGCGCGTCGCGCTCGAGGTCGGCGCAGTCGCCCTCCTGCGCCGGGTGGCCCTGCGTGCGCCGCGCGGCCCGCGCCGTCGCGAGCATGGCCCGGAGCGCCCGCGGCGCCGCGAGCGCGTCGCCCGACTTGAGCGCGGCCGCGGCCGCGTCCTCGAGGAGGAGCCGGTAGGGCCACCACGCGCCCGCGTCGCAGTGCGCGAGCGCCAGCGACCCGTCGGCGAGGCCGCAGTGGTCCACAACGAGGTTCAGGCGCGCGCAGGCGTCGCGCACGGAGCCGTCCTTGAGCATCGACGCCGCGTGCGTCGACCCGACCTGGGCAGCAAAAGGGTGATTCAACGTCGCTTCAACGTGAGTGTTCCGCGCGCGCGCGTTCCGGAAAAAGCATCCACGCTTCGAGACCGTTCCGAGAGATGATCGCTTGTCCAAAAATCAGCCGAAACGAGTGGGAAACGGCCGAGATAGGAGCCTTTGAAGTTGGGAATTTCGCTCTCTTTTGCTGCCCTGGACCCGACGAGCACGAAATGCACGCGGCGCCAGTCGAGCACCAACGTGCCGAGCGTCGACCGCCGGAGCCCCGCCGCGGCGCCGCGGCCGCCGACGAAGTGGCCGTCGCGCTCCGCGCGCGCCATGGCCGCGAGCGCGTCGTCCGCGCACTTGCCGCACTCGCCGTCGCCGAGCTTCGCGAGGCGGTCGCCGAGCCTCTCGAAGAACGCGGGCGCGTTCCTCGGCACGTGGTCCGCGGGCAGCGCCGCCGCCGCGCGGGCCCCGAGCGCCTCGAGCGCCGCCGCGTCGGCCTTGGCGAGGAACTCGACGTGGTACCGCGCGACGGCGCGCCGCTCGCGCCGGAGCAGCGCGCCGAGGTCGACGGCCGCGGCCGCGAGCTTCTCGACGCCCTTCAAGGAGAAGTTGTCGGCGTCGTAGTGCTTGACGCGGTACTTGGGCGGGTAGGCCGCGGCGCCGTTCGCGGGCGAGTGGCGGAGCGCCCAGAGCACCTCGTCGTGCGCGAGCGCACACGCGGCGACGGCGAGGGGCGCCTTGGGCGCGGCGAGGCCCGGCACGGCGGTGAGCAGGCCCTGCATGACGTCGAGCTCGCCGCAGAGGTACGCGCGCCGCTCGCGGTGCCGGTGGCCGCAGTTGAGCACCGCGGCCTTGGACCACTCCTTGAAGGTCTTCGACAGCTTCAGGTCCCGCGGCCACTTGCCCGAGTAGCCCCGCGGCGGCCAGGCCTTGCCCAGGCCCTCGAGCTCCGCGTGGACGTTGACCGTCGACGACCGGTAGACGCCGGTCACCAAGGCGTCCTCGCACGCGAGCTGGCAGCACGCGAGGCAGCCCGGGTCCGCGAGGACGCCCGGCGTCGCCAGCGTCGCGAAGACCACAAAGTCGCAGGCGCCGCGGCCCTCGAGGAGCTCGCCGTGGAGCAGGGGCACGTCGCTCCGGCCCTTGTGCTGCGCGTCGAGCGGCGCCATCGTCGGCTGCCCGAGCGACAGGTTGTCCTCGAGCATCGTCAGCGCGTTGCGCCGCAGGAGCTCGCCGGAGCCGCCGACGATCAGCAGGACGTGCTTGAGCACGTTCTTCACGAGCGTGCCGACGACGGGCACGTAGTCCGCGAACACCGCGCCGACGGATCGGAACGGCTCGTCGTACGTCCGCAGCGACTGCTGCGCCAAGCGCGCGAACTTGGGCTCGCTGGACCCGCGCGCGCAGGCGTGGGCCGCGGCGTAGAGCGAGCAGACGAGCCGCCGGTCGTCGACCATGCCCGCCAGCGCGACGACCCGGACGAAGGCCGAGAAGAGCGCGACGAACGCGCGCGACGACTCGCGGCCGACCGTCAAATCCCAGCACGCGAGCTGCGCGGCCATGGCCTTCAGGGTGGCCGCGTGGACGGCGACGTGGGCCTCGAGGTCCAGGAAGAGCTCGTAGGCGTACTTGAGCTCGCCCATGGTCCCCGCCGCGCTCTTCTGGAACGACTCGTACCTGCGGATTCTCCCGTCGTTCGTTTTCCCCGCGGAAACGCGCGGGTTTTCCGGGCGCCGCGCCGCGCTTCGAGTCGCGGCTCAGGTCCGGCAGCTCGGGGAAGGCCTTGGTCAGCTTCGACCGCACGCCCTTCCACTCGGGCTCCTTGAGCGCCTTGAACCGCTTCTCCTCGCTCCGCAGCTGCTCCGAGAGGCGGTGCGTCCGGGCCATGAGGCCCTCGGCGGAGTCGAGGAGCACGACGACGCGCTCCGCGAAGCGCTCGGGCTCCACGGACGAGTCGAGCATCTTGGCGGCCGCGTTCGCGCCCTCGATGGCCGGCCTGCGGCGGCGCGGGCGCGAGCTGATCGAGCTGCCACAAAATTATCACAAATTACTAGTAGAAATCCCTCGTCCGCGGCCGGGAGATGCAGCCCGGCATGGGATAAAAATTGGGCATAAAATCTGACGGCGATGCGAGGCTTCCTGCTCCTCCTCGTGGTGAGAACCGCGGCCTACAAGAAGGCCTACAAGATCGTCGTCTTCAAGGAGTCGCGGACCGGGAGCACGTGGATGGCCGACATGCTGGCCCACGAGCCGGCGGTGGCGTACTTCGAGCACGAGGCGAACAACTGCTTCAATAAGAAAGTCCAGGTGGATCCGTCCCGCGTGCGGAGCGACACGCTGCGCACGTTCCTCGGCATCCTCGGCGCGCCGCGCTGCAACATGACCTGCAGGGCCTACGACGACGCGGGCGTGCCGACGTTCGCCGTCGCCGCCGCCGAGGACCCGCGCGCGCGGCCGGGCTGCCTCGCGGGCAAGATCGTGGGCTTCGACGTCGCCGCGGAGCACCTCCTGCGGCAGAACGCGGCGCCGCTCACCTGGCGCGGCGACTGGCCCCGGCTGCTGCGCCTGCCGGACGTGACGCCCGTGGTCTACGCGCGGTCGAACCTCGTCAAGCGCAAGGTCAGCAACGTCCACGCCGACGTGCTCCAGAAGTTCTGCTGGGGCACGCACAAGGTCGTCACCGCCAAAGCCCGCGAGTGCTACGAGGAGCACCGCGCGGAGCAGGGCAGGAAAAGAGAGCGAAAGTCCCAACTTCAAAGGCTCATATCTCGGCCGTTTTCCACTCGTTTTGGCTGATTTTTGGACGAGCGATCGTCTCTCGGAACGGTCTCGAAGCGTGGATGTTTTTTTTTCCGGAACGCGCGCGCGCGGAACACTCACGTTGAAGCGACATTGAATCAGTGCTGCCCAGGCGCGGAGCTCGAGAAGCCGCTCGCGCTCCACGCGGGCAAGCTCGCCGCGGGCGCGCACGGCGACGCGCTCAAGTGGTCTTCGCTCCTCGACAACGTCACGGAGGCCGCCGGCGGGGCGCGGCCCTTCGTCATGTACTACGAGGCGCTCCAACTGGACCCGAAGGCGGAGATCGAGCGCCTCTTCGCGGCCGTCGGGCTCGGCGGCAAGGGCGAGCCCGTGCCCGAGGTCCTCGCCCGGTCGACGTCCGTCAAGATCACGAGCGACGACCTGCGGCGGAGCGTGGCGAACTTCGACGACGTCGCCTTGGAGCTCGACGCGCTCGACCCGTGCCTCGCGGCGCAGTTCCGCGACGCGGACTCGGCCGTCTTCGCGGACCTGTGCCTGCCGGGGAACCGGCGCGTGCCCTGGGAGCCCTAAGGCGCGCCGGTCCGGACGAGGCGGGGCGCGGGCGCCGCGCGTGGCGCCGCCGCGCGCGACCGAGCGACGCGCGAATCTGCGCGGCCGAGCCCGGTCGTCACATCTTAGGCCGCGGGCGCGCCCTAGCGCGGCGAGAAGAGCTTGCCGAAGAAGCCCGAGACGACGGCGCAGGGGTTGGCGCGCTTCGGCGCGGCGATGTGGGGGTACCAGCCCTCGAGGACGGCGACCATCTCCGCGTGCGCGGCGTCGACGTCGCCGTTGACGACGTAGGCGTCGAAGGGCTTCTCGGCGTGGCCGTCGAGGGGGTGGGCGAAGGCCATCTCGACCTCGGCGTTGCCCATGCGCTTGAGCACCTTCTCCTCCGTCTCCGTGCCGCGGCCCCGGAGCCGCGCCTCGAGCGCCGCCATGTCCGGCGCCTCGATCCACATGTACTTGCAGTCCATGCCGCACTTCTTCACGAGCTGCACGCCCTGGACGTCGATGTCGAGGATGCAGATCTTGCCCGCGGCCTGCACGGCCTCGACGGCCGCTTTGGACGTGCCGTAGTAGTTGCCGTGGACGTTCGCGGACTCGATGAAGAGGCCCGCGTCGATGTCGCGCTTCACGGAGGCGACGTCGCTGAAGTGGTAGTGCTCGCCGTCGACCTCGCCGGGCCGCGGCGACCGCGTCGTGTGGCTCACGGAGAAGCCGAAGGACGCGGCGTCGTAGGCCATGAGCTTCGCGATGAGCGTCCCCTTTCCCGCGCCGCTGCAGCCGGCGATGACGAGGGGCGGGAAGTAGGAGGCCATAGCTACCATCGAGGGCGGCACGAGGGCCGGCGGATGTCCTCGAGCGGCGTCGGTGTCCTCACCTCGCCACTTGATGGTCGAGCCGCAACATGAGCTTGCGCGGCAGGGGGTCGGCTCGCCTGCCTGCCGATGCGCTAAGGATAGCGCCTAGCACACCCGGCCAGCGCCAGCCAGGAGGCGTCTCGCCGCCTCGAGAGATGCGTCGCGCCCTTCGGTAGGCCCTACCGGATGGGATGGTGTGGCCATCGCCGAATCGCCTCGTGAGACTTGTGGTAACGCAGCCGGGAAGGAGCCGGCTCTCTCTCACAAAGCAGCTCGGGTGGACGCGGACTGGAGGTGCGAACGGGGCGTCCGAACGTCCGAGCGGCGGCGCGCCTGGCTCGTGGACGGACGTTCGAACACCCTCGCCTCAAAACTCCGAGCTCCGGCGGCGCGCCATCGCCGCCGCGCCCCGTTCTCGGCGCGTTCCTCGAAAAGCTTTCGGTGCCCCGCCCCATGTCGGGCTTCGACGCCAAGCAGCCCTTCGCGGCGCCGGACGCCATGGTGACGACGGCCGACGCCGGCGCCGGCGGCGCGCCGTCCGCCGCGCCCGTGCCCGCGGCCGGCGGCGCCGCGGCCGGCGGCGCCGCGGCGGCGAACGGCGCGCGACGGCGGAACCGGACCAACTACCGGTGTTCCAAGTGCGGGCAGCCGAAGCGCGGCCACATCTGCCCGTACCAGCCGCGCGTGCTCCGCGCCGACGGCGAGACGCCGCCGGACATGAAGACCGTCGCGACGCAAGTCGAGATCGACGAGCGGCTCGTCGTCCGGCACCTCCACCTGCCCCAGCAGGGCTACCCGGAGTCCTACGGCGAGGCGCCCGCCGTCATGCCGCCCATGCCGCTCTTCGACGCCGGCGGCGGGCTGCCCATGCAGTTCGCGGGGCACCCCGTCGCCATGCCGCCGCAGGCGGCCCACTTCCAGGCGCCGCCGCCGCCGCCGATGCCCTGAGTCTTGTTTCTCCGCTCCGGACCATGTAACCAACTTACTATTTTACGCGCGACTTCTCTGTTGTTTTGAGCTTGGCTCGTCGCGCGGCGGCGCGTCGTGGCGGCGTTCACGGTCGGAAGGCGCGGCCTATTCTGACTCGCGCCGGGCGGCTGCGGCACGGCACGCGTCGGTGCAGCGGGTCTGGCCTTTAGTTTTCGCGCGTAGCTCGTCCCAGGCGCGTTCGGAGGCGCCGCGATCCTATGTTGAACCTGATTTGCACCAGGCTTGCAGTGCTTGTAACGCGATGCTCGCAATAAAAACTCGAGCATCGTCGTAGCAGATTTCGCGCAGGAACTGGTCGTCACGCGACCCAGCCGACGCGTCGCGCGTCGTCGCAAATCGTAGCAGACCGCGCGCAGGAACTGTCACGCGACCAGCCGACGCGTCGTCGATGAAATTGCTCCTCCTCCTCCCGGCAGCGGCCCTGCAGCCGGGCCGCCAGCGCTACACCACGCCGCCTCGGTGCGCGCTGGACTGCTGCGAGTGGCAGGCGCAGCACTGCGCGACGACCTACGGCCGCGTCGTCGACTGGTACGAGGGCGACGGCGTCGCGGACGTCGGGAACTGGGGCGTGGCCTACGACGACTACGAGGCCTTCGTCGACGAGGTCGCGCCGCGCCTGGGCCTCGCGGCCGGCGACGCCGTCTTCGAGAGCGCCGTGGGCGCCGGCTGGCTCCTGCGCGGGCTCCGGCGGCGCCTCGGCGCGCTGCGCGTCGCGGGCAACGACGTGTCGTCCGCGGCGCTCGACGAGGCGCGCCGCGCGCTCCCCGATGGTGTTTTCTGCGTCGGCGACTCGCTGAACCTGTCCTGGGTGCCGCGCCGTTCCTACGACGCGGCGCTCTGCGGCTACGTGGAGGCGGGCGCGGCGACGGGGAAGGCCGAGGCGGAGCTGACGGGCCGCTGGGTGCGGGAGATGGCGCGACTCGTCAAGCCGGGCGGCGTCGTCTTCGTCGGCAACATCCGCCCGCCGCGCGCGGAAGCGGACGCCGGCGCGGGCCTGTACCTGAAGCCGCCGCCCGGCGCCGAGCCGGCGGAGGAGGTCACGCGGGCCTGGTGGCGCGAGGCCGCGGCGTCGGACGCCTACGGCTGGGGCGTCGACGCCGCGGCGACGGAGCTCGTCGACCTCCGGAGCCCGACGCTCATCCGCGAGTGGGGACCGCGCTACTCCGTCGTCATGCGCAAGGCCGTCGTAACTTGAGCCTACTTTGCTTGTCTCGCCAGTGCACGGCGCGCGGGCCTCCGCCACTTCCTCCGCCGCGGCCACGGCCAAGTTTAAGGCCAAGTTAAGACCCTCGAAGTAGCTTCGCGCGGCGCGACGGCGACGTAAAGAAGGAGGAGAGGGTATTTGGCACGTTGGTCGCGAAGGCTGCCGCCGCAGGCTCACGCTCTAGGCTCACGCCGAGGACACACCACCAACATCGACACTTCCTTGACGTTGCCGTAGCTCGCGGCAAAGCTTATGATTGTAGTACAGAAACGCAGTGCCATGGTCGTCGCCGCCGCTTCCCTGGCCGCCTGGGCGCGCCCGGCAACCACAAAAACGTCCGCCGAGAAACCCCCGCTGCGCTGGGTGCGGCCCTTCGTCGCCGTCAACGGCGCCATCGTCGCCGTCGCCGTCGCCGCGGCGTGGCTCGAGCGGCAGCTGCGGGGCGCGGCGCCGCCGCCGCTGGCGCGGGCCTACGCGGCCTGCGTCGTCGCCTGCGCCTGCCGCGACGCCGCCGTCGTGCTGTTCCTCGAGTTCGCGACGCGCGGCCGCGAGCGCATCGGCGGGCGCGCGCCGCCGCCGGCCGCCGCGCGCCGGTCCGCGTGGCTCAAGCTCTGCTTCGTCGCCGCGCCCGTCGACGGCGCCGTGCTCCTCGCCGCGCGCGCCGCGGGCCTCGTCGCCGCCGCGGGCGCGCGCAGCGGCCCCGCGGCGTTCGTCGCGGTGTCTTTTTGCTTCGAGGTCGCCTTCGACCTCGGCCACTACGGCGCGCACCGCGCCTGCCACGCGGCGGGCGGCGGCGCCCTGGCGCGGTTCCTGCGCCGGAGCCACGCGACGCACCACGGCGCCCACGGCGCGCACGGCCTCGGCCCGGTGCTCGCGTACGAGCAGTCGCCGACGGACCTCGTCGCGTGCAACGCGCTGCCCGCCCTCGCGGCCCTCGGCGCCCTCGCGGCCGCGCGGGGCCGGCCCCTGGCCGCCGGCGACGCCGCGCTGCTCTGGGCCTACAAGGCCTACGTCGAGGTCGCGGGCCACTGCGGCTGCCACAGCGACGCGACGTCGTTCCCCCAGTGCGTCTGGCTGCCGCGCCTCCTCGGCATCGCCCTCACGACGCGGGACCACGACGCGCACCACACGCGCCCGAAGGCCTGCAACTTCGCCAAGCGCTTCACGCTCTGGGACCGCGCGTTCGGCACGCTCGCGCCGCGGTGAGCGCGCGTCGCCCCTTCGTCCGAGCCGAGTAACGGCGCGTTTCTCGCGGTTTCGGCTAATTTTTGCGTGCGCTGGGCCCGCGCGTCTGGCGCTGGACGTCGGCGCCCACGCGCTGAGCGCTGCACCATGCGCTGCATCGCCAACCTTCAGCTGCCACAGCCCGCGAGGCGCTGGATGCGAGCTGGCCAGTCTCGACGCTCCCGGCGGCGCCAGTGACCATGGGCGCGAACGAATCCTCCCTCGAGGGCGACGCCATGGCGCAGGAGGCGGACGACTCGTCGTCGTCGCTGTCGGCGACGGGGGCCGCGAGCGCCTACGACGCGCCTCCCGAGCCTCCCGAAGCCGAAGCCCCGGCCGAGGCGGCGACGAGCCCCGGCGACGAGCCGCCGGAGCTCCTCTGTCCCATCACGCTGTCCATGATGGGCGACCCCGTCGTCGCCAACGACGGCCACTCCTACGAGCGCGCGGCCATCGCGACGTGGCTCGCGACCCACGACACGTCGCCGCGGACGCGCGAGCCGATGGGCGGCGCGAACCTCGTGCCGAACCACGCGCTCCGCGCCCAGATCGGCGAGTGGCGCGCGGCGCGGGGCCTGCCGGCCATGCCCGAGCGGTGGATCCCGCCCGCGGCGCCCGCGCCCGCGGCCGCGGCGACGCGCGCCGCGGCGCCGCAGCCCCGGAGCGGCGGCGTCGGCGCGCTGCACCTGTCCAACGAGCGCGCGGCCGTCGTCTGCCGCGCCATCACGGGCGTGCTCGCGCACTCGCCCCAGCTGCGCACGCGCCTCGGCCTCGGGAGCGTGCCGCCGCACGCGGCGCCGCGCGTCGTGCTCCAGCGGCCGCACCTCGTGAGCGCGCTGGCGGACCACGCGCGCGACGTGCCGGAGATGCAGCACTGGGCCGCCATCCTCGGGCGGCTCCACGCGCAGCAGCGGCGCGCGCTCCAGCTCGCGCGCGCCGCGGGCCGCGGCTCGCGCCGCGGCGCGGGCCAGCCCGGGTCGCCGCCGTCGCCGGGGTCGCCGCGGCCCGCGCCCGCGCCCGCGCCGCCGTCGACGAGCCCCCGGGCGTCGCCGCGGTCGTCGGCCGACGCCGCCGCGCCCGGCGCCGAGGAGGCGGCCGCGCGGCTCCGGGCCGCGCGCGGCGCCGTCGCCGCGCTCCGCCGGGACGACGCCGACGCGATGCTCGACGCGCTGCGGCCCGTCGGCGAGCATCGCGTGCTCCACGAGCTCCGCGTCGACGCGCTCGGCGGCGACGGCCTGCTCCACGCGGCGGCGCTGAACGGCGCGGCGCGGTGCTGCGCGGCGCTGCTCGGCGATTTCCGGTTCCCCCTCGACGGGCCGTCGCTCCGCGACGGCGCGCTGCCGCTCCACCTCGCGGCCGCGGGCGCGTCGCGGGCCGTCGTCGCGCTCTTACTGGACCGCGGCGCGGACGCGAACGCGCGGTCCAGGGGCGCGAGCCCCGTCGACGCCGCGCCGCCGACGCGCCTCGTCGCCGCGGCGGACTCGACGCCCCTGCACCACTGCGCGCTGAGCCCGCTGCCGGGCCGGCCGGGCATCGTCGACGCGCTGTTGAGGGCGGGCGCGGACCCGCACCGCCGCGACGAGCACGGGTCGACGCCGCTCCACGTCGCCTGCAGCCGCGGGGCCGTCGACGCCGCGCGCGCGCTCCTCGCGGCCGCGGCGCGCGCGCCCCTCGACGGCGCGGCGCCGCGCGCGCGCGGCGTCGCGCCCGAGGACGCCGCGACGCCCTACGCGGACCGCCGCGACTACGTCGAGCGCTTCTCGCCGCTCCACCGCGTCGTGGGCTGCGCGCGGCCGCCGGACTTCGACCCCGCGCCCCTCGTGCCCGACCTGGTCGCCGGGGGCGCGGACCCGGACGCCTACAGCCGCCGGGGCCTCGCGCCGGCGCACGTCGCCGCGGAGCGCGGGAAGGCGCGCGCGCTCGCGGCGCTGCTCCGCGCGGGCGCGGACCCGGCCCTGCCCCAGCGGGGCGGCTGCCACGAGACCTGCGTCCACCTCGCCGTGCGCCACAAGCGCCTCGACGCGCTGCGGGCGCTCCTCGACGTCGTCGGCCGCGCGCCGGCCGTCGTCGACGCGCGCACGACCGACGGGTCGACGCCGCTGCACCTCGCGGCGGCCGTGGGCAGCCGCGAGGCGACGGAGGCGCTGTTGGATGCCGGCGCGGACGCGACGGCGCGGACGCTCGACGGCGACTCGCCGCTGCACGTGGCCGCGTGGACGAACGCGCTCCCCGTCGCGGAGGCGCTCCTCGCGCGCGGCGCGGAGGTCGACGCCGTCAAGCGCGACGGGTCGACGCCGCTCCACCTCTGCGCGAGCCGGGGCCTCTACGGCATGGTGACGATCCTCCTCGAGGCCGGCGCGGACAAGCGGAAGACGACGGTCTCCGGGTCCACGCCCGCGGACCGCGCGGCGCTCTTCCGCGACGACCGCCTCGTGCGGTCCCTGTCCTAACTTAGCGGAGGGCCTGGACGAGCGTGAAGCTCCGGTCGCCGGCGCCCCGGGCCTCCGCGCTCGTCGCGAGCGCGAGCGGCCGCCGCGCGGCGTCGCCCTCGCCGAAGACGAGGTGGGGCCGCTCGCGGCGGTTGAAGGTCGCCGACGTGTTGTCCGCGAGCCGGACGACGTTCGTGTAGGCGAGGCCGCCGTAGTGCCAGGCGAGGCCGTCCTCGCTGAACGCGTGGACGCCCACGAGCATGGGGTCCGCGCCCATGTGGGGCCCCTCGAGGTTGTGGAGGAGCGCGTGGAAGCGGTCCTCGCCGTCCTGGTAGATGAAGGGGTCCTCGACGTCGGGCTTGCCGGGCAGGCCGCTCGCGCCCTCGACGCCGTGGACCCACGCCGACGCGTTCCGCCAGTCGGCCGCGAACGCGGACATGGAGCCGCCGCGCGACATGCCGTAGGCGCTGCCGTTGGACCTATGGGGCGACCTCCCCCCTTTTCGACGCGCGCGCATACGACGCCGGAGCCGCGCGCGATCCAGACGCTCGGGTTCTCCCCGCGCGTCGCGTCGGGGAAGAGCGGCCGGCTCGTCCAGGGGCCCGCGGGTCCGTCGGCGAAGAGCAGCGTGGGCACCTGGGGGTGGCAGTCGTTGCCCGGGATGGCGCCGCAGCCGCAGCCGGCGACCGTCGTGCCGTCGACGCAGTCGCAGCTCGGGAACGACGCGTTCAATTGCCCCGCGACCGCGACGAGGACGATTTCGCCCGTCGGCGCGCGCGACACCACGGGCTCGTGGGCGAAGGGCGGGATGACGTAGCCCGCGGCGCCGTCCTTGACGTAGGGCCCGGCGACGTCCGCCGCCGTCGCGTGGACGACGCCCGAGTTGAGGATGTACGACCTGGGCAGCACAAGAGTGATTCAACGTCGCTTCAACGTGAGTGTTCCGCGCGCGCGCGTTCCGGAAACAGCATCCACGCTTCGAGACCGTTCCGAGAGATGATCGCTCGTCCAAAAGTCAGCCAAAACGAGTGGAAAATGGCCGAGATCGGAGCCTTTGAAGTTGGGAATTTCGCTCTCTTTTGCTGCCCTGTGTACGACGAGATGCCGCAGTGGTTCGCGAGCTCCGAGGCCCAGAGGTGCCAGGTGCCGTCGATCTGGAGGATGCCCCCGCCCCAGCTCGACATGTTCGCGCCGCCCTCCACGGGGTCGAAGCCCAGGACGGCGCCGTCGACGTCCTCGAAGTCGAGCGACTCGCAGCGGGGGCCCGTCCAGCCGCCGTCGCACTCGCAGACGGGATGCGGCAGGTCCGACGGCGCGACGCAGGCGCCGTTGAGGCTGCAGTCGAGGGCCGAGGCGCAGGGCAGGTCGAGGATGCCCGCGTCGACGTGGTCCTGCGCGAGGGGCAGCCACGCGCGGTCGACGTGGCCGTAGCATTTGCCCCGGAGCGTCTCGTTGGCGTGCGCGTCGGCGTAGCGCGTGTAGCTCCGGCAGGCCGTGCCGTTGGCGGCGGAGAGGGCCGCGCAGAGGGCCCCGCAGGCGTCGAGGGAGTCCGAGGGGCCCAGGTGCTTGACCCACGCCGAGTCGACGCCCGTGGCGACGACGGCGCGCGACTGGGCGGAGTTGATGTTCGACGCGTTCGCGACCGTGGCGCCCGTGGGCGTTCGGACGAGGCCCTTGGGGTCCACGACGTGGGCGGAGGCCGCGGAGGCTAGGATCATGATGAGCGCGAACATCGTGAAAAGCGGCCCCTTGAACAATTCTTGAACGTTCAATATAGGGCCTAGTTAATTTCTAATTGGGCTGCCCAGCGCCTCGATGGACCTCGATCGTTAGCTCGAGCATCATTTGGTTTCGATCGTTCGGCTGGCCGCCAATAGATCGAGACCATGACCGACGACCTCTCCGTGGGCAGCGGGTCGAGCAAGGGCGGCGCCTTCGACGCGTCGTCGCCGGCGCCCGCGCAGAAGGCGAACCTGGACATCTCCTTCGCCGCCGCCGCCGGCGCGGGCCTCGAGAAGGTGTCGGGCGCGGCGAAGAGCAAGGCCATCGGCATGAAGATGGAGAAGATGGTCTACCAGGAGATCGGCCGCGTCGTGCAGCCGCCGAGCGCGCCCGCGGAGACGTCGCCGGCGAAGCCGCGGGAAAAAAAGTGCCACCAGTGCGACCGGCCCTACGGCGACGACGCGAACTTCTGCGCCGGCTGCGGCGCGAACCTCAAGGAGCCCTCGAAGAAGAAGAAGGACGGCTCGCCGAGCCGCAAGGGCCACCGCCGCGGGTCGTCCAAGGGCAAGCCCGCCGACGAGTTCCCGAACAAGGCCTACAACGGCGAGCTGCCCGAGCCGCCGCCGGCGCACCTCGCGCGCGCGGGCAAGTACGAGGGCCAGCTCGACGACGGCGTGCGCCACGGCCACGGGAAGTGCGTCTTCCCGACGGGCGACGTCTACGAGGGCGCGTTCCGCAACGGCATGCGCCACGGCGCGGGCGTCTACACGTACAAGCGGCGGCCGGGCAAGCAGCGGCAGCGCGTCTACGAGGGCGAGTGGCGGCGGTCGAAGCGCCACGGCGAGGGCAAGGAGACCTGGGAGGACGGCACGGTCTACGAGGGCGCCTTCGCCGACGACGCGTTCCACGGCCTCGGCACGTACCGGACGCCCTTCGCCAAGTACCGCGGCAACTTCGAGGCCGGCTACAAGTCGGGCCAGGGCTCCGTGGTCTACTACAAGTCCAAGGACACCTACGACGGCGAGTGGCGCCGGAACCGCTTCCACGGCGTCGGCACGTACTACTGGGGCAACAACACCAAGTACGAGGGGCAGTGGGAGGACGGCGCGCGGACGGGCTTCGGCGTCTTCCTCGAGCCCAGCGGCGAGAAGCACGAGGGCCACTGGAAGAGCAACGAGAAGCACGGCGCGGGCACGACGCGCACGCGCAACGGCAAGTGCCGCGACGGCGTCTGGAAGCACGGCCGCTTCGTCGTCTGGAGCGGCAGCGAGTACTTCGGCTCGTCGTCCTCGGCCATGCACGCCGTCGGCAACAAGCTCGGCGGCGACCGCCTCAAGGGCGCCGACGAGAAGAAGTCCTTCGTGTGATAACGAGGCGACGCTATACACGCCGAGCTTGCTCTCTCTCTCGGCCCGCGTATACGGCTCGTTGAAAGGAAAGATGCCCTTCATCGTTGGCTTTGTTGATTAATTGCGATGCGCCTCGCAGCGGGCCACAGTCTTCAGATTGCTTTGGTGATCGATGATGGTCGCCGCGCGGTGGGCTCTGCTCGTCATACCCGTCGTCGTCGCGCGGCGGCGGCACGGCAGGGTGCGCAACGCGACGCGGCCGTGGCAGGCGAACGCGACGGCGCTGGGCGGCGCGCCGTGGCCGGCCGTGGAGCTCGGCTGCGCCCTCGAGGAGGACTTTGGCGCGCGGACGCTGCACCTCGTCGCCGCGAGCGGGCGCCGCGAGACGATCCTCGGCGACGGCGGCGGCGACGGCGGCGCCGCGCCGGGCGCGGCGCCGCTGCTCTGCGCGCGGCGCTACGACGACGTCGGGAAGCGGACCGCGCTGCTGACGATCGCCACGGACGCCGCGTACCTGCGGCCATGGGCGCTCTACGTCTGGAACAAGCTCTGCTACTGCGGCCGCGAGCGCGTCGACTTCCTCCTCTTCCTCGGCGACATCGACGCGACCGTCGCGCCGAGCCCGCGGTGCGCGCTCGGCCGCGCGAGCAACCACTGGATCAAGGCCGTCGCCGTCCACGCGGCCCTCGAGCGCGCGGGCGTCGACGAGGTGCTCGTGCTCGACGCGGACGCCGTCGTCACGCGGGCGAGCTTCCTCCGGCCGGGCCTCCTCGAGTGCTACTTCGCCTTCCTCGGCGCCGGCGTCGACGTCGCCGCGGGCACGGAGCACTACCAGGTCTTCGTCAACGCGGCCGTGCTCATGGTGCGGCGCGGCGACTGGGCGCGCGCGCTCCTCGAGCTCTGGTGGACGGACCGGTGCGGCGACAAGGACCAGCTCGTGCTCTGGCACGCGCTCTTCACGCTCTGGAGCGTCGACGCGCCGCGGCTGGCCTACGACGGGCGGCTCCTGGACTACGTGAGCCGCAACTACTCGTCCGGGAGCCTGCTGACCTACAAGCACGCGCGGCGCGTCGTCGTCTTCGACTACGTGAAGGCCGCCTGGCCCCAGTTCCTCCGCAAAGCCGCGGGCGCGCGCGGCGCGGGCCTCCACCACCTCCGCGAGGACCTGCTCCTCGAGTTCCCCCACTTCCTCATGTTCCCCATGGCGCCGACGGCGCCGCGGCCGGGCACGTGCGGCGGCGACGCGCTCCCGGCCTTCCGCGCCGTGCCCGCCAAGGGCCGGCCGGGCCCGCGCGGCGCCGGCGCGCCCTTCCTGACGCACACGAAGCACCGGCCGGCCTTCGACTGCTGCCCCGCGGGGCTCGCCGGGCCGACGGACTGCGTCGACGTGGCCCTCCCGGACGCCGAGGCGGGCGGGGACAACGTGCCGCATCGGTAAAAAAAAATTTTAAGTCGTGCGCTCAGCTGGTGGTTCACGGCGGGGCGGTACCGCCGATATTTTAGACCCCTACACGTGTACTCTAAACGGCTGCCGCGCCGTAACCCGCCGCGACGACGTCGGCTTGGCCGCGCGAGGCTCGCGCGGGCTGTTGCGCAAAAAGATATTGTCCGAAGCTCGAGCCTCGGCGCGCGCGGCGTGCGCTATTGCGGTAAAAAATGCCGACCGGGCGAGCATTGTACACGATCCTGATGACTCGTCGACGCACAAAAAAATCGGGCCCGAAGCACTGGAGCGCCGACGACGCGCCGGAGGCGCCCTCGCGCCCCCTGGAGGCGTGGCGGGCCCTCGACGCCGCGCCCGTCGACGAGATCGGCGTCGACGAATCGAAAGAGGAGCGGCCCCCCACGCCGCCCCTGTTCGACCCGCTCAAACTCCCCCCGGCGCCCCCCCGGAGCCCCCCGGCGTCCCCGCCGGCGTCCCCGGCGTCCGCCGCGGCCGAGGCGGCGCTCGCGGCCGTCGTCGTCGGCGACGTCCGCTGCTCCGGGTGCGTCGACGTCGCGAGCCGCGCGCTCGAGTCCGCGGGCCTCTTCGTCGAGCGCTACGAGGCGGACTTCGCCAAGGCGACGGCGACCTTCCACCTCCTGCGCCCCGCGGCCGCGTCCGCCGTCGACGCCGCGCTCGAGGCCGCGGGCGTCGAGCGCGACGGCGTCGCGTTCCCCGCGCCGGCGTCGCTCGCGGGCGTCGTCGAGGCCCTGCTCGCCGGGGGCGCCGTGCGGCGCTACGCCTGCCGCTGCGGCTGCGCGTCCTGCCTCTGCGCCGACCGGCCCGCGGACCCGCGCGACGCGGGCACGGACGTCGCGCTCGAGGGCCTCTGCGAGCGCCTCGAGGACCGGGGCATGGGCGACGGCCTCCGGGCCGAGGTGCTCGCGGAGGTGCTGCGGGCCCAGGGCGCGCCCGCCGCGGCGCTCCTCGACGGCTGGCGCGGCCGCCGCGTGCCCTGCGGCTGCGCGGACGGCCCGCCGGCGCGCGAGGTCACGGGCTCCGAGGCCGCGTCGCGGCTCTCGGCGTGGTCCGCGGCCGCGCGCGCGGCCGCGGCCGCGCCGCCGGAGGTCACGGCGTCCTCCGAGGCCGGCACCTGGTCCGTCGCGTCCGAGACGTCGGCCCTCGCGTCCGAGAAGTCGGGGCCCGCGGCCGCGGCGGCGAGCTCCGCGGCGACGACGCCGTCGGCCGCGGCGAGCTCGGCGTGCCCGACGCCGTCGGTCGAGCCCGCGGCGCCCGCGCCGGAGCCGGGCCACCTGCGGCAGCCGTCGGAGATCTCCGTCGTCTCCGGCGTCACGGAGGCGTCCTTCTCCGGGCACCCGCGGCGCCCGTCGGAGCCGAACTCCGGCGACTCCGGCGACTCCGCGGCCGCCGTCGCGGAGGAGGAGGCGCGGGTCACGGCCTCGGAGGCCGGGACCTTCGCGTCCCTGCCCTCGGACCCCGCGGACGCCGCGGCGTCCGAGGCCGGGACCCGGACCATCGCGTCGCTGCCCCCGGAGGCCGAGGCGCCGGACCGCGGCCACCGGCGCGGGCCGTCGGAGGTCTCCTTCGTCTCCGGCGTCACGGAGGCGTCCCTGGACGCGCCGTTCCCGGCGCCCGCGCCGCGGCCACCGCCCGACGCCTGGGTGACGGCCCGGTCGAAGCGCCGGCACCGGTCCGCGGCGGCGCTCGCCGCGCTCGCGCCGCCGGCGCCGGCCGCGCGCGCGGCGTCGCTGCCGTCGCTGGCCGTCGCCGGCGCCGCGACCGCGCCGCCGCCGCCGTCGCCCGCGTCGCCCGCGACGCCGCCGCCGGCGACGCGCGGCGGCGGCGGCGCGCGCAAGGCCCGGACGCCGCGGAAGGTCCGGTCGCCGCCCAAGGCCGCGGCGCGGGACGACGACGCCGCGCTCGACGAGGCGCTCGCGGCGGGCCAGAAGTGCCAGCGCTGGGGCTCGGCCGCGGTCGCCGCCGTCGCGGTCGTGGCGATCGCGGGCGGCCTCCTGCAGGACCTGCGGAGCGGCGCGGCGGCGCGGCGCGACCGGTGCGCGGCGTTCTACGACGTGAAGCCGGAGGCCTACGTCTCCAACTTCCACACGAAGTACGATCCCTACGCGCCGCGGAGCGCGGCGGCGTGGCGCGCGGAGTTCGCCGCCGCGTGCGCGCCCGGCGCCGGAAGCGGCGGCGCGACGTGGTGGGCGCGCGCGAGCGCGGCCTTCGCGGGCGCCCCGGGCCCCGCGCCCGACTTCCGCGCGGCCGCCGCCGCGGCGCTCGACCGCACGGACGCGGAGCTCGCGGCGACCGCGCGACGCGGCGTCGGCGACGCGGCGACCCGCGAGGCGACCCACGAGGCGACCCGCACCGTCGCCTACCTGCGCGCCGAGGCCAACCTCGAGGCCAGGGACTACGCCGCGGCGGCGCGGGACTTTGAGCTCGTCACGAGGAGCGACCCCGTCCCCGTGAATTGGGCCGCCTTCGCGGAGACGCTCCTGAGCCGCGCGGTCGCGGAGCGCCTCTCGGTCGGCGGGCCCTCGCCCAACGCGCGGGCTGCGTCGGAGCTCTGCTACTTCCTGCAGGGGTGCAAGCAGAGGACCGCCGGCGGCGCGGCGCCCTTCGTCCCCGGCGCGTCCGAGGCCGCGGACGCCGCGCTCTCGGACGCGGTCGTCCCGGCGCTCGCGTACCTCGACCGGGCCATCGAAGCGACGGTGAACAACGCGAAGGCGCGCGCCGCGATGGCGCACGTCGCCGACCGCGCGCGGCGCTTCGTCCGCGACCCGCCGGCGCGCGGCAGCCTCGCGGGCATCGCGACGCCGCCGGCGCCCCCCGGCCCCGCCAAATAAGACTCTAGACTCGTCGGTTAGGAGGCGCGCGCCTTCTTCTTCTCCTTCTTCTCCTTCTTGTGCTTCTTCCGGCCGGCGGAGACGAGCGCGCGGACGAGGCGGTCCGACGACGACGACGACGGCGCGGCCGCGGGCGCGCGGTCGCCGGGCCGGCGCGCCGCCTGGCGCGCGCGCGCGTCGTTGGACGCGGAGACGACGACGCCCGGCCGGCTCCGGGCGCAGCGGTCCCGCGTCTCCGTCGCGCGGCGCCGCAGGTCCGCGTCGCCGCGGTCCTCGCCGCCGAGCGCCGCGGCGCGCGCGAGGTCGTCGACGGCGAGCCGCGCGCGCTTCAGCGCCGCGGCGTCGTCGAGGAGCGCGTCGGGCTCGTCCAGGGTCTCCACGGCCGCGCGCGCGCGGCCCCGGAACGCGTCCGCGGACGTGTCGTCGAGCGCGACGGCGTCGGCGTAGCAGCGGATCGCGTCGCGGTGCCGGCCCGCGCGCTCGTTCGACGCGCCCCGCGCGCAGCGCGCCGCGGCCCAGAGCGCGTTCTGCGCCTCGCGCACCTCCTCGTAGAACTCGCCGGGCCTGGCGCCGTAGTCCCGCAGGACGTGGCACGCGGCCGCGTCGACGCCGCCGAGCGCCCGGCACTGCCGCGCGTACGCGTCCGGCGCGTCGAAGCGCCGGTCGCGGCGCAGCGCGTCGAGCGCGCGCCGGCCGGACTCGCCGTCGTGCCGCCCGCCGGGCGCCGACACGTGCAGCTGCGTCCAGCTCGGAAAGGCCGACGCGTCGTGGGGGGCGCTCGGCTCGTCGGAATGGAGGGCACGGAGCCGCGGCCCAAGGGCGCGGGCGCGCGAGAGCCAGTCGTCCGCCTCGCACTCGCCCTCCTCGCACTCGCCGTCCTCTCGCTGCTGCGCCCGCGAACTCGCGGTGCGCGGTGCGTCCACCTCTCGCTGCGCCCGCGGGCTTGAGTCCATTGCGTGCTGCAACAAGACACGGCAGCGGCACCTTCGACCGATCTTCGACAAGCTTGACGCTCTTGACGCGGGCTGGTGGGCTGCGTCGGCGCGTGGTCGAGCTGCGCGCGAGTTTGCGAGCAATGCGCGCGCGCGCGGTCGCGGCTATGCTGCTCGCCTCTACCGCGCTCGGCTTCGTGCCGTCGACGCACCCGCGACGACGCGCGCGCGTCGTCGGCGCGAAGCCAGAGCGAGAGCAGGAGCCGACAGAGACCGTGTACGGCGCCCATTATTGTGGGGGTGATCCATGCTCGAGCGGCTACAACGACGACCCGTTCGACGAGCAGGCGTCCAAGCCCGACGATTTCGCCGCGTTCAAGAAGCGCGTCCAAGCGATCGTCGACCGGGAGGCCGAGGACGCCGCGAGATGACCGCGGGCCAGCGTCGCTCGCGCTCGGGAGCGCCTTCGCGCCGGTCGTGTTCGCGCTCATCGGCCTCTCCGCGCCGAGCCCGGGCGCGCGAGGTCCGCGACGTGTCCGCCGTCGTCGCGACGAGGTCGTTCGTCCAGGTCGCGCTCGTGCCGCTGAATTCCTAGGCCGCGGTCCGCGCCGGCGCGCCGCCGACGGCGCGCCGCGCGTTCGCGCTCGGCGCGCTGTCGCCCTACACGAACATCGGCTCCTACTTCGGCGCGGAGTACCACGACGGCACCAAGCGCACCGTCGCGGCGCTCAACGTGACGACGGCCTTTGTCCTCACCACGGCCTACGTCCACGTCGCCACGTAGGGTAATCATCGAGGCTCCTTGAGCTCGGGAACTCGGTGCCCATCCACACAAGGGCTACTTATTTAACATACACGCTACGACCAGCGGGACGCCGGGAGCGCGTCGAGGGCGGGCGCGTCGAGGGCGGCCGCTCGAGGCGGCCGCGCTCGCGATACGCGGGGAAGAGGCCCCTCAGAGGTTGTGCTCGACGAAGGACATGTAGGCGTACTGGAGCGCCTGGACGTGCGCCAGGCCGCCCCAGCCGCGGAGCACGTGCGCGTCCGTCGCGGCGAGGAGCACAAAGCCGTAGGCCGTGAGCGCGGAGCCGAGGTACTGCGGGTGCGCGCAGCAGACGTTGAAGGGGAAGCCCGTGCACCAGGGCACGCTCATGCCGTACTTGTAGCCGTAGTACACGCCGACCTTGCCGATGCTCCGGTAGATGCCGACGTTGAGCGCCTGGCCGAGCGCGACGAGGTTGGCGCCGACGACCCACTGGAAGAGCGAGATCTCGCCCGGCCGGATCGCCGGCGCGGCGAGGAAGTAGAGGAGCGCGAAGCCGCCGCCCTGGAAGCACTTGTTGATCTTGAAGAACTTGTAGATCACGTCGACGACGTTGTCGCCGGCGCCGTAGAAGTAGGTGTCGCGCAGGACGCCGCGCGTGAAGCGGAGCCAGGCCTTCGGGTAGCACCAGACGACGGTGTAGACGACGCGCTCGACGGCGAGCATGGCGCAGGCCGCGAGGAACAGCGGCGAGGACTGGTACGCGTGCAGGTGCTTGAGCGTGTTGAGATTCCAGCGCCACGCGGCCGCGCAGCCGACCGGGTCCACGAGGCTTGAGATGGCGTAGGGCGCGACGAGCCACGCGACGAAGAGCAGCTGCAACGACCGATTCATCTTCGTCGTCGGCCGCTCCGCGTGCTTCTTGCGCTCGGGAACGTAAGGCTTGGTTGCGATTGCATCGAGATCTTGCAACGGTGCCGGCTTCCGCGCGGGCGCGAACTTCGTGCGCCGCGGCGCGAGGTGGTTGGTCGTGTCCTCAAGCGGTCGAACCATTGCAGCGAGACGTGTTCGTGCTTGTGGGTGCGTCGCAGTGCCGAAGATGCGATGAGTTCCTGATGCGAGCTTGCTTCGAAGAGTTTCGAAGAATCTGACGAGGTGCAATTTGACTTCAAGACGCCTTTCGTTACCCTCGCCGTCGCCGAAGATGCGCTCGGCGGCGTCCCGCGCCTGCTTGTTGGCGGAGCGGGCCTGGAGCGCCGTCGCCTTCTCCGTGCGGAGCTGGTGCTGCGCGACCGCGAGCTCCGTCGCGCGGCGCTCCTCGCGTTCCGCCAATTTCCGGATGGCCCCCCGCGCCGGCGCCGAAAGTCGTAACGACGCGCCCTATCTCCGTTACGCGGCGGCGGCGCGCCGGCGGGATTTGTTACAATGCAGTGCGTTCGTCAGACGAGAAAGACGAGGTCCGAGAGGCTCCGCGCGCGGCTGAGGCGGTCGGGCGAGAGCGTCGCCCAGACGCAGCGGAGGACCCGGTAGGCGAGGGCGAGCGTGAGCGCGAGGTAGAGGACCACGGGCGCGGCGACGACCGCGTAGGTCGCGGCGAAGCCGAGCGCCGCCGCGGGCCGCGACGCGGCGCCGCGGACGGGCGCGCAGGCCAGGGGCCCGGCGCCGAGGGCGCCGACGTGCAGCTCCTCCAAGGCCCAGGTGCGCTCCAGCGCGACGCGGCCCCGGTGGTCGAGCGCGCGCGCGACGAGCGTCCCGGCCTCCGCGTCGACGTCGAGCTCGCCGGCGTTGAGGCCCAGGTGGTACCGCCCCCCCGGGAGCTGGTAGGTCCAGACGAAGCGGCGGAGGATGAACTGGTGGACGACCATGGCGAAGTGCTTGAAGCGGTGCAGCGCGCGCGAGTCGTAGAAGGCCGGGTCCCGCGAGCCCCACGCGTGCGACAGCCCCGACGTCGTGAGCTCCGCGACCGCGCGCCGCCGCCCGCCGCCCTCGCAGGCGTAGGCGCTCAGCTCCGCGAAGTGGACGTCGCCGGAGACGAGGAAGGCCGTCGCGTTGTGCCGCGCGAGGGCCTCGAAGAGCCGCTGCCGTTCCGCCGGGTACTCGAACCAGCCC